ATTATATTCTATATAATTTTTTATTATATGTAATTAATACAAGATATTATATTATATTAATTTACATTTCATCAATTTTTATATAACTATTCTAAAACAAAATCTAAAGATAAGACGGCAGATACATAGATTAGAAAATTAGATTAGAAAATAGAAATGGCGAGAGTAAAATAATAATTCCTATAAAAGAATGTATGAACATGTTCTATAATGATTTTTTCTATATGAGCATGGATGAAAAATGCATTGTCTTCTTTGACACAAAAAAGGAAAAATTTTAATAAGTTTAATTAATATAAATTATGTCAAATCATTATAGAAGAGTTTCAAAATTTTCTCTTTAGCATGCTTCGTTGACGATACCTATTGGCGTATGTAACGAAGAAAGTATACTTTTACCTCTAACACATTGCATAAATTACCCAAGGGTGATCGAAGATGTTATTCTAAAAATATTCATAGTTTAGAAATGTTCGCCGCTGGAGGAACACTTCATTTGTTGATTTCTCTCAACGTATGTCACCATGCTGACCTCGAGCGAAAGAAAGAAGAAAGTTCTACCTGGCGATACGAGATGTTGCCGCACCTGCGCGCATTCCACTCAACGTGACCCTAAAACTTTAATGCCGTCGAGCATTCACCTTGACCATGCTCTTGCTGTAATTGATAGCTTCCCTTTCATGAATAATTATTCGTTGCACAATTCATTGCATATAAAAATATAGAATCGATTTTTATATTAATATTGGTATATAATTTCAAACAAAAACGAGTTTACAATTTTTGCTACAGGTTTGTGATTGTTCTTATGTATTACAAATGTAGTGTTTTTAAAACGTTCACTAATCAAAGCATTGTATCATAATTGCATGTGATTTATTAATAACATTGTAGAGATTTATTTTTACTAAAGTATAATAAAATTCTAAATTTAATTACAAAATATTAAATTTTTATATGTATATTTTATTAAAAAATTTCTTAGATATAAGAATCTATGTACTTTATATATATACAAAATTTATTTAATGCGAAATACACGAAAATTTATGTTAAAAGAATAGATGATGTATAATTTTAATAACTTTCGTAATGTAACTTTTTAATATTTTAATCAGATTTAATGTACGTACAAAATAAATTTATGCGTATTAAAAATTTAATCTTTTTCAACGTACATATTATTTGTAACATTAATTGAGCACATAGATAAAAGATGAAATTAAAGATAAATCTAACAGATCCAATTTTTTCTAACACAAGTAAAAAATACAATATGTTATAATACATTATTTATATTACAAAATAAAATAATATAATATTGTTATAAATTTAATATAATAAGAATATGTTTAAACGTAAAAAAGAAAGTATGAAAGTTTTACGTAAATAAATCTCAATGATGACGATATATTGATGGTCGTTTTAATAATGTGGTGAAAATTCAACTTGCCGAGATCGGGAAATAAAGAGGAACTGAAAAAATTCGGATAGACGATGTCGTTGGACAATTAATTCTAGCGTGCAACTAGTTACCTTTACCGTTCCGCACAGACTTTCGGATGAAACAATTTTGTTTGCGGGGTCTCTCGTTATTTCGAGATTTTTGCGGCAGTAACAGCATCAGCGGTAGATGGTACTGCCGACAGACAAGCAAAGCCAGACCATGAGGGGCGGCACTTTTCCGCTGAATTATTGATGACAACGTAATGGATCTCAATGGGCCGGGCATATACAGGGTCTACCAAAAGTGTGGAAACCCCTAAATATCTCGGAAAATATACGTTTTACAGAAAAGTGTTTCCAACAAAAGTTGTAGGGTTTAAGAAGATCTATATACTGATTCTATCAGTTTGACCTTGGATGGCGTCGTCAAGGTCAGGTCAAGGTCACATTGACTTTTTTAAATGACACCCCTACATTTGATTGCATATTCTTATAGCTTAATTCAAGAGCTTTCCAAAACACTATAATAATGTTCATTTTTATTAAGTACTTTGCGAGTTATGAGGTTGAAATAATTTCTTAATTTTACATAAACCATAAAATATCTAGTAAACCATTCATTTTTCGATTATCTTACCTTCATACTTTTATGTACAAATTAATGAGAGGAATCAATTGGTGTAAAGAAAACACATAGTTGTTTCTAAGAAAAAATATGTAATTTGCAATTAACAATTCCATATTTTTTCTTAAAAACAACTGTATGTTTTCTTTACACCAATTGATTCCTTTCATTATTTTGTACATAAAAGTATGAAGGTAAGATAATCGAAAAATGAATGGTTTACTAGATATTTTATGGTTTATGTAAAATTAAGAAATTATTTCAACCCTCATAACTCGCAAAGTACTTAATAAAAATGAACATTATTATAGTGTTTTGGAAAGCTCTTGAATTAAGCTATAAGAATATGCAATCAAATGTAGGGGGTGTCATTTAAAAAAGTCAATGTGACCTTGACCTGACCTTGACGACGCCATCCAAGGTTAAACTGATAGAATCAGTATATAGATCTTCTTAAACCCTACAACTTTTGTTGGAAACACTTTTCTGTAAAACGTATATTTTCCGAGATATTTAGGGTTTCCACACTTTTGGTAGACCCTGTATATGTGTTGCATCCGGCATACACACATACGAAAATTGCTGCTCTCTCTCTCTCTCTCCCTTTCTCTCTCTCTCTCTCTCCCTTTCTCTCTCTCTTTCTCTCTCTCTCTCTCTCTCCCTCCCTTTCTCTCTTTCTTCTCTTTATTCTACAGAAGATGAAAAACTCTGGATAATTAAAAGTTTGAAGATATCTTAATAATATTCGACATAATCTATGAAATAATATACAAAAGTTTAATTGGAGTGAAGATATTTTTGCTTTTATTAAAAAAAGGGTTTGTTATTTATATTAAAAAACATTTTAATTGTTATCAAATATATTGAGAAAAATTCGATCAGATGTAATATTTGAGCGAATAATTATTAGATATTTATTAGATAATTATTAGATAATTATTAGATAATTATTAGATAATTATTAGATATATTAGATATATTATAGCAATGTCTTGTAATTAATGTTTTGTAATTATAATTTTCATATTTGACAAAATTTATTTAAATATATATTTGGATATTAGAAATATGGAATATATATTTAAATATTAATTAGGCATTTGATATTCTGGTAGATTGGTTTTACTGGATTTTTCATTATATAACCGCACAATTATGTGCAGATGTGTGCAGCAGAAATTGAATAGATTGTGTATGTGTGTGTGTATGTGTGCGCGCGTGTATGATACCAGTTAAATTTCACCCGCTTGACAGTGGCCGAGATTCGTGCAAACGATCGAAGGTCAATTACAAGGCGCAGTCTATCTTTTCGCATGCATCAAATAAAATATATATTAAATTACAGATTAATACATACTTTTTTGATGCTTAAAAAAATAATTATATGAATATTTTTGATGATAAAACTTCAATAAAATTGTTATTAAAATAATAATAATAATAAGAATTTATAATTATAACTATTTGCAAATTAATTAAAATATTTAATAATTTTTGAAATTATTAAATGTTTTAATTAATTTGCAAATAGTTATAATTATAAATTCTTCTTTATATATATATATATATATATATATATATATATATATAAAGTTTCTATGAATATCGAAAAAAATGTATATGTTAGAGATATGACAATCTCTAAATTTCTATTTGTATTTTTCGATGTTCTATAAGAAAATGAATAAAATATTAGTGTTACAATTATTTTTGTAATATTATAAACTTAAAACTAATAATATGTATACAAAAAAGAAAATGAGAAATCACTGACTATGTGGTTAATTGATTATTCCTATTTAACGCAAAGAGCAAGAAAAGTAAATTATTGCCGCATTGATGATCTCTAGACTAATTTTACTGTACCGACAAACTCTCCTTTTACTTCACATCTATAATCATTAATGATCCTTTATTTATTAACTCTATGAAGATATAAGCAATAATTATGTTTCCGGTGAAAGACAGGTTTTATTGAAAAAAGAACACGTTGTTTTCCCATATCGAGTTTTGATATCACTACGCGTATTCTTATGCATTCCAACATTGCGATAGTTAATAAGTATGATTAAAGATTACATCAATCCACAATTCACCATGGTGCAAATTATTACACCGCATTGCGTAAGATTTCTTGTGTATACGTGCGATGCAACACCCTTGATGTATATCCTTCAAGACTCAATGATGCATCACTGATTCTTGGCTAATCTTTAAAGTAGGCGCCGATAAATATCTTAAACAAGAATAAAAATAAAAAGAGACAGGGAATATCTCAATTACTACATAAGTTTATCAGCGTTCAGCTTTTCAAAGCAAGCTGGGCCTAAAGAATTCATTTCGCGATTGCGAAATACATGGAAAGTTTACGGTAAGTTTCACTTGTATTTTTATGCAAACTGTCGTACTGTTTTTTTGGGTCTCCGACAGCAGATATGCAGCTGATAACTCATGTCGATTTTTGTTGTCGAGTGCGAGGGTGGGATACTCGGATACTCGGTTGACCAATTCTTCCGAGGTACTTTTTATATGTCGCAAAAGGATATACAACCGGTTTCACGCGACATACGCGTTGTAGTCACTCGGGACCGAGAGATATACACGCTGCATCTTCGACTTCTTCAGCGAGACAGAGGCAGGGCTAGCCTACTTTCTCTACAAAGAGAATTTTTAAACGTCGTGTGAAGAGGGCTCCCTCTTTTCGTGTTCTCATCTTCCTCATGTCATCGTCATCTTTCTCACTCTCTTTCTCTCTCTCTCTCTCTCTGTCTCTCTCTCTCTATCTCTCTTTCTCTTTTTGCCCTCTCTCTTTTTCTGTCTCTTCTCTCGGTACCCTTAGGCGAGCACTCACTCTCTCCTTTTCCCAGGTCTCCTTTCCGCGATTCACCCGACAACCTCAGTCGACAACTCTTCTGACTCGTAGCCCTCTCGGAGTCTATATAAGCAGAGTCTTCATACGAGACTGAACATTTTTTGTGTTAGTACCGGCGAGTCGTGGCGCTCGTCTGTCAAAGAGGCTACGGGCCAACGAGTGCCAGTATGGTGTGCGCGACGTGTGATAGGAAAAGCCACCGTTAAATCGCATACGACAAGCTTGGAGTAGACGCGACTTCCTTTAAAGTGTGGTGGCGAAAAGTAGACGGAGCGCGTCTCGTAGTGGATAATTTGTGTGTAGTGCCAAGATTGCGGTTTATGCGCGTGTGTCATGGTTAAACTCAAGGTAGGTCGCAACGAGTCTGGATTGTCGTGCTTGGTTCGCTCAGAACGTTTATCTTCTTGGAAATTAACAAAAATGTGACACAAGTACAGTTACATCCAAAAGTAAATCTTCCTGCTTTAGAGCTTGCACAGTGTTTCAGTTGCAAATATTTATGATTTTATAATGTCATTAAAATGTGTGATTTGTTTAGCAGAAAAATTATAAGCTAAGATTTAAAAATGTGTGTAATAAATAAAAGTTTTATTAATTTGCCTTTATCTTGTTTAAATTGATTTTGTTTAAAATGGCTTAAATAAATGCTATTTAAAAACTAATAGTTTTTGCGATTTTAATGTATATTATTTTAAATATAAACACACATGTATCTGAAAATACTTATATATATCTCTGAAAATATTGTAGGAATATGACATGTATTTTTAAAATATTTGTAATAATACAACGTGCATTTCAATATCGATAAATAATATATTTACTCGAGAAAATAATTACTGCATTGGTTGCAATTTTTATTAACATAATTGGATTCTTTCTTATTATGCATGATGCTTTTAACGCTTTGAGGTAGTACTTGCATTTCTCGTGGTAATTTATATTTTACTATATAATAATTAAAGTAAATATTATATTTATATATCCATTTTCTCATATGTAAAATTATTCATAAATATGTTTCATATATTAATTAGTTATCGAGTCATTACTGTCATCATCTACATTTGTTTATAAATATCCTCCATTTAATGGTAGTAAATTATTTCGGTTTGTTATTATTTTAATACAGTTATTAATGATATACCTAAAAGAAAATTTAAATAAAGAATAATAATGATTTTATTAATATTTTTTAGAATTATGTAAAATATTCTAAACTTTAATTAATAAATTAAATTTTAATTTGTAATTATCTAACATTTATTGAATCATCTATATGTATATGTCTATGTAATCAATAAAACGGACTTCCGTGATTGATCGGCTTTTCAAATATATGTATACATTATGTCACATCTCAGTTTTATTTAAAAACGATAAAATGAATAGAGTACTTTAGTACACAGAAATCTCTCCACGACTTAAATAACGTTACACCCTCGATGTGAATAAATTTCCGTATTAATAAAGGGAGGGGCGCATGTATTATGAAGGAGCGCACGATAGAGGTCTTAAGCGTATGCATTATCGATAATTGCACTGCGACGATTTCCAACCAGAGATTAAGTAATTGCTGGTTTCTTATCGATGTCTAATAACGACTAATCTGAGATACCGGCCGAATCAATTTTTTCTAATTTGTTCGTTGAACAATTTAACCTTTTGATTAATCTTTGAATGATATAATATTTTTTTACACACATATAGAAATAAAAATGTTATAAATGATTAAATAAAAGTTGTTAATAATAATTATTTAAGAAATATAGGTCATTACGTATTCCCGCATGCGTGAAATATGCATGAAATTGAAAGTTCTCATAGGAAACATACTATATATTTTCATACGGGCAGTACAAAAAAATGCATTTATATAAAGATCATTATACAAGATGTAAAAGTAATTATTTACAACGAAAAAAGAAAACAATATAAATATCAATTTATTTAATTTGTTGAAGTTTGAGGAAATAATACTTTTTACTTAATTATGTTCATATAATCAATGTTTATAGCCATGAAAAGCAGGTATTTCAGGTAACGAGATTTATAAAGATATGATCTAATCTCTCATATATGTTATTACTTTTACACTATATACAGCATATTATCAAACTATCACTCTACTAATATATATAAAAATAAGTACAATATTTTGATAGCTTTATAGTCACATTATTAATTTGGCATTCGATTAAACTGATAATTGCAAAATTTCATATTTAATAATCTAATTTAAGATTCATGTAAAAATATATTTCGAATAAACACATATTTTGTTTGATCGAAATCTTTTTCTTTCTTTTTTATTGACCCCGTTATATTGATGTATCGTGTGTATGTTATTTTGTAAATTGTACTTACTATCTCAATTAAAATTATCTAATAATATTGTTATTTTTTTACTGTAAAAAATTAATCTAATTAAAAAATTAATCTAATTAATCAAAGTAAAAAATTTTATTCATATTATTATCATAATTGCATTTTAATTTATAATTAGTAACAAATATTTCGTAATTAAATTATTTTACAAGTTTATATGCATTTATCAAGAAAAAATCTTTTATTAAAAACTGATTGATGTTATTTAAGGATATATAAGCTGCGAGTAATTACAAACTTTTGAAAAATTAGTTTTGTATAATTACTAAAAATCAATTTTATTTTTCTTTATACATATTTTTACAGGTATGTGTGCTCTGAATTTCTTTTATATGATGGAGATATAATATCATTGAGACAATGATAATATATATGCATTGTCATTGAGACAATGTATAATATATATTTTATAATATATAAATATATATTTTATCGAAAATTTTCTGATTGCATATAATATACACCGATTAATTGAAAATCTTATGAGCGAATAATTATTAATTGTATTATAATAAGATAAAGCTAAAATATGTGTTTATTAACTGCAAACATAAAGATATTTATTTATATATAATATGTTTCAGATTCCTCTATTATTTTAATTACGATTTTTTAAATTATTTTTAATCAATTTTTAAGAAATACAGTTCAGGCGTAAATGATTAAATATCAGAATAAAAAAATAAGAGACTAAAAAACATTTTTCAAAAAATAATTATTTGAAATTACAATTATTGTTATATATTGTCAGACTGCAAGCATAGAATATATTCGGCCATCGTGCACTTAAGAGAAGAAGTCGCTGGTTTCTTGCCGGCAATGACAGACGATGAGCTTGTACGTTCTCATCGTTTTTTTTCATCAGTCTATTTTTGTAGAAAAAACATCAAAAATGCAATTTTCACGAATTGGAGAAAGTACGGTGACTATGTTAGCCTTGCATCTCGGCCATCGTGCCACTTAAGAGAAGAAGTCGCTGGTTTCTTGCCGGCAATGACAGACGATGAGCTTGTACGTTCTCATCGTTTCTTTTCATCGGTCTATTTTTGAGAAAAAACATAAAATGCAATCACAATTAATTATTGTATAGTAGCGTTTGACATATAATTATAACAATAACAATTATAATAATATTTCGCATTGTACATATACAAAGTGTTACAAAAGATAGTTGCATAATTTATAATTGTACTATTATTTATTATTTTATTGATTAAATTTTCGTAAAGGGGGGGGGGGGTTTGGGATAAACGTAGTTTTAAATTTCTATTGCATGTGCATATACGTATGTGTGTATTGTATATTACTATACATGTATAATTTAATATTTGTTAATATTATAGACGTAATATACTCAAAAAGTAGGCATCTTTCTAGCATAAATAATGGCTTCTTTTGCAAGAGATTTATGATGAAATGTCGCACAAATATTGAGCTTTCTATAGCTGTCTTTAGTTTTATATGTCATGGAAAGAATACTTATGTCAGATTATTTTAATAATTATGATCGATAAGGTAAATATATTTCTTGTTACATAATATTTTCTTAGAATGTTCATTATTACGTATGTTCTTTTCAATATTATATGCAATATTAGATTATATGCATGTACATATATACATATAGAATTTTTTTGGAAAAGAACTTGTTATTAATTCATTTAAATGAGCAAAGTGTTAGCATCTCTAAATGGATAGCACTTGTTCGTTTTTCGCAACTCCTCTTTATGCAACATACGCTATTCCGCTTACAATTATAACGTAATTATTCATTCGTGCACGCCTCTTTAATGCTCGGAATACGTAAACGAAGCTTTACATAATTTTCACATATGCTGTAGTGATCCCTTCTCTGACTTTAAGCGAATAATACAGAAATTCTCACGGCCTCTAATATAGTTGCTACACAATAACGAGTGGGTGATCTCCGTATGTACTGTGAAACTATTCTTAGCGTCCAACGAACTAATTAACACGTATAGCTTGGCGTTTCGTATATTTGAATGAATATGTGTACAAAATGCAATTATTTTCCTATTATTTTTAGTAATGATATTTATATAATGGAGAATAGATAATAATCTTATAATATATTCATTATTATGCTGTGTGTGTATAGGTGTTTATTATGCATGCTCTGATATGTTTTACCACGGTTATTTAAGAAAATAGGGAGCCAAGAGATGCGAAAGTAAAAGTACATAAAAGCAAAAACAATTTTTATCTTAATATGGAATACAAGTGTGTATAATAGATTCTTTCAAAATGCAATGTGTTTGCAATATTAAATTTGTAATTACTATCTGACTAAATTACATATTATATATTTAAATATAAATTAAAGTCATAATAACTATACGAATCAAATATATGTGTAAAATCATATTCGAATCTTTATTACGAAATTGTAATGCATTTGCTGCAATTAAATTTTTCGAAATCTTGGACGAATTATGCATTATTATCTTTATATAATTTGATATTATGCCTCAAGTTTCTTTTCACTATAATCATAAACGTGCCTAGTGTGGGAATAGAGAGACGAAACATTAACCACAAAAGCCGTGAAGTTACTTTTTTGACTCTAGTTAACCGTTTTATTTTTAGATGCTATTCCTGCTGTTCTGCGTCCTGTTGATTGGACAGCACGTGCAAGCAGTAGTCAACAAGGCGACCTCGCCGTTAGCCAAGGAAGAAGAGAAACCCACCAAGGCCAAAGCCGATGATAGAATAAGTAATACTTTTAATTCTCCGTCTGACGAGTATGGGCCACCGTTAGGATCGAGTTTTAATGGACCAGCGCCGATATACGGACCTCCGGAGTTAGTCGGCAGCCTTGGATCAACGCCCATTTATCCACCACCACCGCCGGAATTGCCGCCACCTGTATTTGGACCGTCGGCCGTTTCATACGGGCCGCCACGAAGTATCAAGCCGCAATACGGGCCACCGAAACAAAGTTTCGGCTTAGCAATATCCTCCCTCCTTTCGAAGCCTACTTACGGCCCGCCAAAGCTTCATTACGGGCCGCCGAAGCAACATTTTATGCCGCCGTTGGCTTCGTTCTCGCAGTTTATATCACCGAAACCTCAATACGGCCTGCCATTGAAGTCGTTCGTTGGTACATCCAGCCAGCAATATATATCGCCGCTACCGACGAGTCAGCACGGGCCGTCCAAGCCGGGCCACGGACCACCTATTCCTATATCGCTCGAGACTTACGGTCCGCCGCCTCCGAAATTAGCTATTCAGTTTAATCCTCTGCCCAATGACGAGTACGGTCCACCACCGCCGCCCGTATCCGCACCGCAACCGCAATACGGTCCACCGGCTGGTGATTTATACGGACCTCCGCCACCAGCACCTCCGCCAGGAGTTCCAGCGCCACCCACACCACCTGACATAAAGTACGATGGATGGCAGCCTATTGCCGGAGTGGCTACCTCCCCTAATCAAAGTGGTCCACCGATAGATACATATGCCTCACCCCTGGACGCAAAACACAATTACATCGAAAGTTCATCCTCTTCGGGATCGCAATTATCTCATGCTTCCCTGAGCGCCTCGACGAATACAAATATACCTAGCGATTCTTACGGCATGCCGTTAAATAATCCGGATGATCACGATTTGAAGACGTCCGTGCATGAATCCTCGGCTTCCTCGGAGAACGATGGATTACCGCCGCCGCCGTTACCGCAACACGAGCCCCTACACAATAATCACGGTCCAGGTGCTACGACCAGTCAATCTGATCATCAATTCGGTCGGCAACAATTGAACTTGCAGCATGGAACGCCAAATATCGAACCGTTAACCATCGTAAAAACAGTAGGATTTGAATTATTGCCAACAACGGGCGCTTTGAACGGAGATCTTACAGGCTTATCATTATCAGGAGGCACTTCCGACGTCTCGTCATTTAATCATATTTCAAATTCGATTAATGCCAATTCGGCTTCACTTCACTCGGAATTGACGTCAAACGACGGATCTCACGCTGCCGCTTTAAGCAATGGCGGAGATTCTCACGGATTTCAGAATGTGGAGAACGATCTGTCCTTGCAGCAATTACCGCAGCAGACGCCATCGAACGATTATGGCCCGCCCTTAACAACCGTGACTTTTGGGAAACCCGCTAATTTTATATCAAGCACATCCTTGTTTTCTCCTCCGCCTTTAGATTCTTACGGAACACCACCTCTATCTTCTTACTCGTTCACCGGACCTTATCCAGCAGCGCAAGGAGGACGATTATTTTCGTCATTCGGAACATTCGGAAGTTCTTTTAACAAACAAAATCTGCATCATCACAGAGTTCATGGTCCCTTCAGACCACCGCCAATTCCTCTCGAGTCTCTGATGCCACCGCGAAATCGGGAACCGATCAAATTCAGGGAACCGATACCAACAGGATTATTATCGAATATTAATCGATACTTATCGCCGCCTACAAAACAACAGTTGCCGATCGTCCACGCTCCAGTGTCTTTTCGCCATACACATGGATCGAGCAATTCATTCTCCGGCTCTTTCGCGTCATCTGGTTCGTTTAACGTACATAATTCTCCGATAGCCGCACCGCATGTTCAATACGGAACGCCGTTATCATTTACTGATTTCAACACACCAGCTCCTCATTTAACTTATGGAGCGCCCAACTTTGGCCCACCAACTTCTTTCGTTTCAACGTCCTCCGGATTTGGCAGTAATCTCTACAGCGGGATTAATAACGCGCTAACAACATATGGCACACCGGTGGTGAACGCACCGTTATCAATCGGTGGCGGTTATGACTGCAATTCCTTGCAACCGCTCTTGCCTGTAAACGGAGCGTTACATTCGAACAAAGGATTGTCCGTGAGCGGAGAGCTACCTTTAAGCGGTAGTTTAGCTTCGAGCGGAGAATCGCATTCTAGCGGAGAGCTGCACTTGAGTGGAGGCTTATCTTTGGGTGGTGAAGTGCCCTCAGGCGAGAGGCTATTATTGGATGCTGGATTACCCGCGCATGGAGGCGCGCATGGAGGCGCGCATTCTAACGGCCAGCTGCAACTTGGTTTTGAAAACGTGAAAATTTCTGGTGGAAGTGTAGAAAATCCCAGCCCACTTTTCATCAATTCTCTGTCTACGAGCATTGCCAACTCCGTGGGAAGCGATTTATCTGGGGATAGCCATCAAAATTCCATTTTTACGGGCAATTCATTACCGCTTATTAAGCCGCTTGATAATTTTCTAGGAGGCCCGCCGGTAAATACACTAGATTTACAACATAATGAACAACAGAAGACGAATCTCAAGGATAGTTATGGCAATCCGGTAGGATTAACTTACGATTCGTCCAATGAAGCGAGTGACACCAGAGCTGTTCACGCGTCCACCAAAGATATTTCGAACGAACCCTCTGCGCATCCGTCTAGTCAGTCTCACAATTCCGCAGCAACACTTGAACACGGCTCGGGAATATCGGCTGCGGCGCTAACAGCGAGGTTGACCGCGCAGGCCTTCGGTCAGCAAAAGAATCTCGAATTAAACGAGGTGGATGCTAGTCAATTTTTGAAATCGAGCGAGGGTAGCGAGGCATTGTCTTTGGCGCAGCGGCTGACCGCTGATAATGCTAACGATTTTGAGATTCATGGTTCCAAAGGCACTTATAGATTACAGATACAAGCAGCAGACGGAGGTCTAGGCACCGAGAATTCGGATGGTAGCATCAGACACGATCAGGTATTATCTAATGGCCTTCTTCAAGATATAATAGCCGCTATAGAACAGCCGGAGAATGGTGCTATACAACTGCAAGGCTCGCCGCAAGTTCAACAATTGGAAAAAGTTTTCGGTCCTGATCTGCCGCAGGAAACTGGTGTCATTAACGGTCATTTTATTACCGTAGATAATCAAGGACAAAGCAATGGATTACAAAATCAAGTCGAGGAAGCTAGCGAGAGAAGCGAAGACGTTAAATATTCAAAAAATCAGCCATCAATCGCTTTATTCTTTGACACTAAATTTGGAGAAACGAAAAAGGAAATCAGATCTGCATCGAAAAGCGAGATGCATACCGTTAAAGAAAAAGAACAAAATAACAGTAAAACGAAATCTTTCTCTAAATCGTAATAAGTGCCTTTACAAAAATATCTAATAGTATTTTTAATAATATTCTCGATCGCTTTGATTCATCTCGCAAAGACTTTTTGATTTCCGACAAGAAAAGATATTGCTGTTAACGTGATGCTATTTATTTTCTTTGCTTGCGGTTGACCAATATATATATATATATATAAAATATATAAATTATTTTGGTGAGAGTTTTTAAATCTATGGTGTTCACGATAGCATAATAAATTTCTTGCATATCGATATTCGAAGCGTTGCACATTTTTCGGTGATATTTTCGGTCGAATGTATAGCCGCGAGTACGAAATACTATATTTTCACATATCAACAAACTAAAATTTTTATTTCCAAATAGATTGCAATAAAATTGGTTTACAACTTGACGTGGAAAGCAATTTATTTTGTTGCTTTATCTTTAAAAATTATTCAAACGAATACCTAAGATTATGCAATTTCTCGTAACAGATTCAAATATCAAAAAAAGCTTGATTAACTGAAAACTAGAATTAGAAGGTATAAACCGCGCAATGAAAGTTTATGTAATCTTTTTTCTCTTATTTTCTCGCAAGCAAGCGAAAGTAATAATTACTACTTGTTGGGCAGTATATCGATAACAGGTTATTAGATGAATCGTCTGCTTGCTTAAGAACTTTTCACTTCTTAGTAAGGATTGCAGAAGAGTGATTGTAGAAATGCGTGTATCATCGGCACATTTTTATCGTATGCGAAGATTTTATATCTATAAATAATAATCTTGTTATCAGGTCAAATGTTCACTGAGATTCAACTAAGGATCCAGAGTTTTAATTTTTCTGTGTCCTCGCGTCAACAGCTTATCTTATCTTCGTCCATGAAAATTTCGTCGGCTCGATGATCCTTTCAATGTACAAGAAAATTACTCAATATCGAATGAGATTTTTGTCGGGATAATCGATGCTATCACTTTCAATAATCCGACGCAAATGGCAAGTTAGCATTCTCTGCTCTTGTCGCGATGTATGAAAAATGTTAAGCACGCTATGAGACATTACGCGCGTTTATTAATACTCATATAGGTCAATAGGTTACGGCACCGTTCTCGTGCAAAGTACACGTAGCTGGTGATATGGCATATCCGCGTAAAATCGTTGGGTCGGTAGAACGTGATCGACAGCTACGGTATCTTTCACGATTTCAGTCTTCGCCGAGGTGAAAGTTCAAAACCTCGTTTAATGAATCGGCGAAACACCGAGCTTCTATGAGAATTTCTTTGCGAGTGAAACGCATTGCTCCAGATGGATGCGGATACGTTTAGTCTACTATTACGTATGTGCGGAAAAAAGAAATAAAAAGAAAAACGCATGCTTAGGGCTTGCACGCGGCGGAAACGCGGAGCAACCGCGGAATGTCGATATTATCAGGCAGAGAGAAACCGTAAGCAACGAACGTTATTTCCTTCCGGCGCGCGTATTAACGATCTTTATGCGACTCACGATTCGCAATTCTGCGCGTAAGTTGAAAATGAGTACGTATCGTGAAAGAGCGCGCCGTTAAAATCCCGAGTAATCTTAAAGCTCTTGCATTTTTATGATTTTGCCTGGCAAACGGTTATGCATAACTTGGTGTATTGCAGATACGTAAAATAAGTAGAGCGTATACGTTTAAGGGAGAGACGCTCATTGTTACGAAGTACGCAGTAACGATACTGCCAAGCCATAAAACGCATCCACTTGCTCCTAACCCATATCCACCTACTTTTTTAGGATTTTAATTTATTATTTTATATACGTGAACTTCTATGTGTGTGTGTATGAGCACTTAGCTTATATCCGACGAGCGATCGATGCTATCACTCGCCGGATATAACGATCTTATTAGCTTGTACTTTTAATATATGCTCCATATGTAAATATATAAATACTTTGTAAATAGTGCTCAATTTTTATTTCTGCACTCTCCTTATATTACCTATATCCTATATTAATTTATTATATCACAATTGGATATGACAATAAAAAAATCTGCAATTGCAATATTCATGTTAATACGTATTATTTTTTTAACAATATGATAATTAAGAAACGAGCAATAAGAGCCCAAAACGCGGATGGTAATGCGTAAATTTCATAAACATTAATTGTTCGCGAAAAAAATTGTTTAAACGTGCACAAGGCATTTATACATATATTTTACTTAGTGTGTATGCCAAATTATAGATTCTCATGTTTTGAGAATTCTATAAAACCCTTCTTTATCCCCCTGAAGAGATGTAGACAGGAAAAATATATTATTTTTTTCTCTTTACAAATTTTTGTTTCGATAATGATATGATTTCTATTTTTCATTCTATTTTTCATTTGCATTTGCGAAGCATTATATCAAATCGTAAATATTAATATTAAGTAGGTATTAGTGTAGGATATTAGAGAAACACGTTGTTTTCGAGTCCATTTGCAGAGATTGGGCCGCCGTAATGTGGATTACAAGTTTGCACATCCGAAAGTGTTTGTCTCGAGAAAGTACTCGGTTAAATCGGCGGTCGCCTAAATACCGCGAATTCTGGCACGACGGAGAAACGGAAACGTATGAGGGAATTAGGTATCCTCCGCTAAGTAGAATTACGGTTATGTAAATGAAACGCTATATTGCCTCTCCTTCGGTTAGAGCCCACTGCTAAAATCGTTATTCCCAGATTTTCCACGCGAATCCACACGGCGTAAGTATTCATCGACTTTTTTCCTCACTGTCTCTTTGCATTGTTTCAAGTGTCTTTCTTCGCTTCCTCTCCGCTACTTACTACTTCGCATTAGTAGACAATATGATCATGAAACTTCCGGTGTAATCTGACGCTATGAGAATATTCACACGTTTTCTGCTGTGAAGACAAGATTGCTCGTGTTAAATCAGCGAGTTGTGCTAAATAAGCTGATTCGCGGTGAATAGATTTTATTTTAGTTGATTTTAAATGCATGATATCAATAAGTAATTCAGAATTTTTTTTATATAAAAAAACCTGTCCTCTTTAGCTTGAAAATTTTTAAACTCTAATTTTTAGTAAAAATATTTATTTTTTAATAGGTTATTTTATTTAATTTACAATTACAACGAATATTATATATACTTTTCATAAATATCTAAATAAAATAATCATATTTAATCTTTAAAAGAAAAGAAACGAGATAAAAATAAAAAAATACAGTAAATATATTATACAAAAATTTTTTTATGTAGCTGCATTTAAAGAAGTACTTATAAATATATATAGCTTTTTGATCTAAAAAATCTATTCAATAATCTATTCAAATCTATTAAAACTTATCAAATCTATTATAAGATTAAAAGAGATAACATCATAAATATAACAACGCTATTTCATTTCATGTTAAAAAGATTACAGGTTAGGTAGTGAAGAATGAATATATTTAGTAGTGATAATAATTTCCGGAACTCGTTAAAATTCATCGAACCTAAGAGACATTACAACGTTTGCTACGTGGAAAATAGTTGATGTCTACAAAGACGAAGCGAATTTTATTAGCGCTCAGGCGATCCCTCCGAAGGCGCGTAACGACTTCCTTCTGGTGCAATTTTAATCGTACGTCGTACCGTGTGGAGTTGCCGGTCCTTCGAGACTAGCTTCGGTGACGAGGAGGGCTTTGGATGGGATCTCGAAGGAAGGTTTCAAGGGTTAGCCAACGGGAACGTATGCATTTTTCGCGGAGCTCGGAAGTGCTTTATTTCCATACTGACGTCGTATCCGTACACACCGACGTCATACTGATCTCAGGAGGCACGTTGTTGCCTTATGGGCGGTATATACAGAATATAAGGCAAGCCGACAAGCGGAGTCTCCGATGTATCGTTGCTGGTATGCCCGACGTTGCTCCATCGCCAAAGGCAAAATTGTCTTTCCTGTGAATAGCAAATAGTTGCTGAAAGCGAAATCACCCAAAAAACTAAACGAGATTATAGGAATCGATTGGATGATAACAATATTCAAATTATATCGATACTTTATAAAGCTTTCTTTCTTGTCATTGATTTGACTTAATTAAAATATTTTTATATGTATTATTCGGATAAATAATTCTTTTTTATACCAAGCAAGAAAGCATAGTTGCTTGTTTATCTCTAGCAATGTAGTATATGTACACAATTTAAAACAAAATGTAACATGTCATTATAGTCGCTAAATTAGAACCGTTCTCACATATTGTTTTTTTTCCTGCACTCGCATTGTAATAAAGTAGGTTTCTAGCACGCTTTTTTATTATCACGCAAGTATAATTATCACGAGAAGTAGTATAACTAATATTACTTTGTCATTGTTTAGATAACAAATATGAAGTTAATTTTCTTCAAATTTGATTAAATTCTATCTCTTTTTTTATCAAATTTTTTAGACTTACATTTAAAGATTATCACAAAAAATTAATTTTATATTAAAATTGTCAAATAAAAGTTTTACAAAACTTTTAATAAACAAAATTGCTTTAAATTGACCAAATAATCTTTAGTTAAAAAATATGGCAATTTTAAAATATTTTGCATATTATTTTTTCAAATTTTCAACATACTTTTTCAATCTATTTTAGAGGAATATTTTTTTATATACATTTTTTGAATCGTTGATATTGAAAGCTGCAAATTAATATTTATTGGGAAAAATGTAGTAATCGCTAACATTTGAAAATATTAGATAAAATGCGATTTTACTCATATTGCATATGTTTTACAGTCTACCTCGTGAAAAAAGAGCATGACAAATTTATAGTGAAAGGAGAAAATTGATAGGCAATGTATATCAAAAGGATTTTAATAATCTCTTGCAAGTAATTTGACTTTTCCAGACTTTTCTGGTTACGATAAAAATGAAATTGTAAGAAATATGTGATAAAAAGTAAAATTATGAAATTATTAAAACGTTTGAAATAAAGAAACATTCAAGATTCTACTTTATAAATGAAAAAGAGAAGATCTCAATGTTAATGATAGTTTCATGTTAAATCTTAATTAGTATTGTTATTATTAATATTATCATGTTGCTAATGAAAGTCTTTATATGACACGTGGAATCCAGAGATAATTAACAAATGTGATATTAACATTTGTCTTTAGAAATTTCTAATTATTATTAAGCTTATAATCTATTATTATTAAGCTAATTATTATTATTTGTAAATTAAACATTGTAATATTAGTGTATGCGCATTATTTATATTATATAGAAGTGAAATCAAAGCTCTTCTTTATAATTAAAAGTGTAAGCAAAACAATAGAAAAATTTTACATAAAATTTTTGCAATAGCAAAAATTTTTATCTGCATATATTATGTTTATATATAAAATATTTTTATATAATTGTCCAAAGATTTAATTAAGTATTTTTTCTACATAGGTTGATATATCTTTCACAATTACAAGTATGTAATATGATTGCAAAAAAAAGCAAATATTTATAGATATGACAAGTAACTGCTCCGCGCTATAGGATATGCACAACTTCTAATTAGGTTAGTCAGTTTAGTGACAAGCAGTTTCGCACATATAATTCATTAACCTTCGCATGAGACGGAAGATAGATAACGTATGATTATGCATTGCACACGATATTAAAATGTAACGATCCGCACCTATTCAGTCTATATGTAAATATGTAAATTGAAGTCTTTTATTAAATGAATATATGCAATCAGTATTTCATAAAACTCAATATGTGATTATTGCAAGATATAATAAACTACTGATACGATAAATAATTTTTACGCGAAATTAATATTTAACTGTAAGATTTTTATTAATCGAAATAATTTTTGTTAATCAAAGTAGTTTTTTGAAGAAAATTAAAATAAATTATTAATTTAAAAAAAGAGCTCAAAAGTATTGAAAAATTCTTTCATGTTAAAGTCAGAAAGATTTAAATGTAAAAAAATTTGCAAATTAATATATCAATGCACAATGCATTTTTCTTTTCGTTTTATCGAAAAGATTTGTCTTTGGAAAAATAAATAGAAAGAAATTTGCGTCTGAAATCTGACCTATAAAGTTTCGAACGAAACTACAATATGAATAAGGTACATGTCACGCTACATCTAAGGAACGAAATGATTATTAATAAAGAGTGTAAATGTAAAACAGCAAGAAGGACTGGAAGCAAAGAAAGAAGTGAAAAAAGGAAAGCTAAACGAGAGTGAAAAAAGAAAGATACGTTCGTAATCGAAATAAAGAAGGAGCAAAAAGGAGTCACCGAGGGTAGGGACCGGAAAGAAGTCTACGAGGAATTCCATAAAAATAGGTGAAATATGCATAGTACCGCGGAACGTGAAGAAGCGTCGCGACGTCGTCGAGCGTCTCCGGGGAAACCGGAATCTCGGCGCGGAAAGAAGGAAGAGTGAGGAAACCAGCGCCGGTGGAAGAACGCGACAGTCGGTCGGGAGCGAAGAAGAAGCGAAAGAATGAATGCAGGATGGGTGGGTATCTCGAGGGGAAGTGGCGTAGGACAGATAAAGGAAAGGAAGGTTAGAGAGCGAACATTTGGAACGTCTTCTCGAACGAAATCTAATTTCAGTCCCACGGCGAAACTAAGCTATTTTCCCCGCAATATGCACGCTCGCGGGCGTGCACAAGTGTTACAGCAGCGTTTTCCGGCCTCTTACCTTTGACACTCGGCGATTTCTTACGGGGGAATTTTTTAATGTTCTCTCCGAGAGAAAGAGAGCAATTGTAGCTTGTCCGGTACGAATGCGTATTCGAAATGGCTGATAAAATTTCTATCGTCATAATCCACTGTTAAAAAGCGGGACTCCTCGTAATTTTGCTATGGTCGTGTTAGCTTTAGCAGCTGGAAAACGATCTTTCATTTGGCTATGCTGAGTCGTTTGTTCCCGCCGTTGGTGTTGAGAGCACGTATATATATGTTACACACGTTCCTTCGCAAGCTTTATGCCACGG